TAAAAATATTGATGCAGTTATTTAAATGAAAAATATAATGAAAGAAATATTACTGGTTTATTTTTATCCTATCTTTTTGTACTGTACAGTATATCCAAGGAAGCGAAAAATTGAGACATAATGCACAATTTAATGAATGATTAGCATGGATTAGCAGTTCAAAAGAAATATGACTATTACATATCAACATGAGATCTTAATGATCCATGGTCAACATGATTTCATAAGGATAATACAGTACTGTATTTGTAATAATACAAACTATAATTTAAAATTTTTATTACTGCTTTTTTTTATTAAGAAGATTAGGTATACATATCAATGTGCTGCTACCCTATTCTATATGGAACATTACACAGTGTAGATAAAAAAAACTAGCTATAAGTTTATCTAATACTCCCATCTCACAGGATGGTTAGACATATTGTACATGGAATCAATTTAGAAAATACCAGCCTCAATACAAAAAATAAATCAACTCTGACTAAACAACTCTAAGCAATTTTCACAAGAGGTGAGCACTGAATCATGGAAACATTATATTATAATTACCCTTACGAGTTTCTACAAGACTCCTCTCAAACAATGTATTTTTAAACATGTTTAGGTATACACAGCAATGTGCTGCTTCCCTATTCTGTATAAAGGACCACACAGTGTAGATCAAAAACCAGCTACAAGCTCATCCAACATCCCCACCTCACAGGATGGCCAGTCATACATGGAATTAGGAGAGAACAAAACACTTAATGCTGATCTATTAGCCTCCACTGGCAAAATCTGGGTGCAGCACAAGAATATCTTCCAATATTCCTGAGTGTATGAAGTAATTACAGAGCTCAAAATACCTCATGCCATTTGGTATGAAGTCACTGATAACAGGGCAATCACAGATATAGTGTTGGAGAGTATGTTCTCTCAAGTAGGACTGAAAACAGATGTTTTTTTTCCACCAAGAGGGCTTTAAACTCATGGAACCGCCTACCCGATGAAGCCGTAAATGCCAAATTCCAGCTAAAAAATATCATTAAGACAATTGGCGGGCCCTTTAACAAGCCGCCGGCTTTCTGTCCTCTTCGAGGCCAGTAGATAGTTAGTGGCCCTTGGGTAATTCAGTAAATATATACAATAATTGTCAGCGCATCTTCCGAGCAACAAGGACAGCTACACAGTATCTCTTAGAATTACGTAGGTAAACAACTGTGGGAACCGACCTGTGAGATTTATATTTATTTAATTTACATGAATTTATATAGAATTTATATTTACATTAATATATATACTTCGATAGCAATTGGTATGATGTTAAGTGGACTGTATTTCTGCTATAATCTCATAATCTCACAAATCGATCCTCTACACATTAGGGGGGTTTATTAAATTTATACATATGCAGCCAATCAAACTACAGTAATAGACTACATACATTGAAGAGGTTCCTTATCTTATTGTACAGCAGGCCTTAGTCCACCAGGTATAACCAGGATGTAGACACCACATTTTCCTCACGTGAGGTAGCTTCCAACACCCTGGTAACTGATGCACAAAGCATGCTTCCTCGTCTTGACCTGTCAAAAGGGCGCTAGCTATGAAGCCAGAATCCTAATATATGACAGCTATATCAGAGAAAACACTGTACATGGAACCATATAGACCTGGGCTTAATTACCTTTAGTATGAGGCGATCTCGTGCTCTAACCTGCTAACCCTATATCCACTGACATTAATGGCCATAAATGAAAGATAAATGGGTTTCGGCAGAACACTTAACTTGAATTTGTTGACAGCGTATTGATGATGGTACACCTTTGGTTTCCATAACACTTCGTCCAAGTAAAATTAACAGGAGCCGAATTTGCTCCCGTGCCTCTGGTCTTAAACAATAACAATGGCTGACCCCTCCCTTCTCACTGACGCTACTGGTCTACATTGTCCAGATGACAGTAAGTGATAGAAGGGTCACATTTACTCTATTTTAATTCTGATAATTAAGTTAATTTATATGAGATGTTTTTATGATGGTAAAGTCCAAAGACTAATGTATTTAAGAATAATTCCCACCATAATAGGTGGTGAATTTATAATAGTATGTGGTAATGATATCCCGTTTTCTATAGATGGAAATTCCACTACAATTTACATTTTCTATGGGTAACTTGTTTATACAATACAGCAGCAATTATTATCTGTCTGTATGATATTATTATATGGTGTCGGATTTTTCGACAACAATAAATGTAACATATTTGTTTACTACAATGTTGGTGCTGGCTGTAGAAGTTGAAAAAACATTGTTTTACTTCGAAATATACTAATTTTATAAGAAAATTCGACGTAAATAGAAGGCAGTAGAGCTCCGATAAGCCAGCGCTAAATCTTCAATATGAAGAATGTTGCTGCTCTCTGATTGGCCAAACGAAACACAGTAGTGACCTCTATCGGCATGCAGGTGAACCAACAAATTTCTTCCTAAGTGGACCTTATTGAATCGCACCTAAGCATCTTCTTAGGGCGCACTTAGGAACCTTCGTAGCAAACCCACTTACGAAGAAATACACAGAGCTTCCTGAATCTAGGTCCTGGTCGACGACCGGGCCGCGGGGACGCTAAGCCCCAGAAGTACCTCAAGGTAACCTCAAGGTAAGATCACATCAGGCTCCCGCATAGTTGTCTGCTACACTTTGTTGCTGCCACAGACGGAGACCCGGAGGACTTGCCAGTTCCACTCCCACAACCAGACTGTCTTCAGCCAGCCATGGCCTCAAACATTTCACCCCGCCTCTCAAGGAAGGTATAATCCGATTAACCTTATCCCTAGAGTGGTAACATTGTTCCTAGAAGCCTGAGTCCTCTCCCCCAGAATTATTAGTTTAGCCAAGTAGCTGTTGTCTTAATCCCTTGACCATTCCTGGATGTGTGACCATAGTTTGTATATTAAACATGTACTTCCAATCATCATTCGTTAAGTGTTGTAGTAATGATCCTCTAGTTAATAATCCCTCCTAACTTGTGGATTAGAACACCGGTGTTACGTATCCCTAGTTGGATACTTACATAAATTCATGATAAAAAACTTACTATTTTCAATTCTTGCATTTATCTGTATATGTATATATATTTTTGAAATGTATCATATGCTTTGGCAACACAGTTAGGTGGGGGGGGGGGGGGTGGGGGGGTTGCTAAGTCACACGTCCAGCAGCTGTGAGTTTCCTGATTATATTTTGGTTCCTGTTTATTTGTGGAGTTGCCAGAGATTACCTCATAATCCATTCTTATTCAATATATATACCATATATAAATTTATTATAATTTCACTTATATTATTTATTTATGCCAATTATATTATAGTTTCCATTCTGATATATTTGAGAACGATTGCTCTTCTCAATTACTGCAAAATTTAAAAAAGTCCTTAATGACCATCCGTCATCCTGGCTGAAGGCGGAGGGAGCAAGAGTTATGGGTAGTGTCTGAGAGTCAGTCAGCGGAGAGACGTCACCTGGGGAAGACATGCGGTTAACTGCTCTGTACTGTTTTAGTAATGTAGCATAATTTTGTCTGGAAGGATATTAGTTTTAATTATCTAGCCATTGATTCACTAGCGTTATTCAAAGTGATTGCCATGTTGGGTAGTATTGATATTACTTGTCTTTAGTTTGTTTGTTAAATATAATATAATATATATATAAATTGTGCCTATGTTTATAATCTGGTGTTATATTTTTTCTTTCTTATACAGTATCACGGGGCACCCTGGTATATCATATTTAGATACAGTCAGTGTCCCTAGACTATACTTAACACTGTACCCGATATTACGAGTGGTACGTACGAACAGTAACAGGGGAAAGGTCAGCTTATGAGAAAGGAAGGTCAGGTTAGGAGGGGGAAAAGTCAGGGTAGGAGGGGGAAGGTCAGGGTAGATGTGGGGAAGGTTACAGTAGGAAGCGGGTAGGATTAGAAAGATCAGGGTAAGAAGAGGGAAAGGCAGGGTAGAAGGAGGGAAGGTCAGGGTAAGTGGGGAAAGGTCAGGGTAGGAGGGGGAAGGTAAAGATAGGAAGGGGAAGGACAGGGTAAGAGGAGTGAAGGTTAGGGAAGGAGGGGGCATAGGTCAGAGAAAGAGGGGGAAGGTCAGGGTAGGAGGGAAGAAGGTCAGGGAAGGAGGCGGAAGGTCAGGGTAGGAAAGGGGAAGGTCAGGGTAGGAGGGGTACGGTCAGGGTAGGAAGGGGGAAGGTCAGGGTAGGAGAGGGAAGGTCAGGGTAGAAGGGAAGGAGGGGGAAGGTCAGGGTAGGAAGGGGGAAGGTCAGGGTAGGAAGGGGGAAGGTCAGGGTAGGAGGGGGAAGGTCAGGGTAGGAAGGGGGAAGGTCAGGGTAGGAGCAGAAAGATTAGGATAGGAGTGGGAAGGTTAGGGTAGGAAGGGGGAAGGTCAGGGTTGAAAGGAGGAAGGTCAGGGAAGGTCAAAGTATGAGAGGGAAGGTCAGGGTTGAAAGGAGGAAGGTCAGGGAAGGTCAAAGTATGAGAGGGAAGGTCAGGGTAGGAAGTGGAAGGTCGAATTACCACGGGGAAGGTCAGTGTAGGAGGCGGAAGGTCAGGGAAGGCCAGGGAAGGTCAGGGTAGGAGGGAGAAGGGAAAGGTACGAGGGGGGGCAAGGTCAGGGTATTAGGAGGAAGTTCAGGGTAGGAAGCGGAAGGTCAGGGTAGTAGGGGGAAGATCAGGATAGGATGGGGAAGTTCAGGGTAAGAGGAGGGAAGGTCAGGATAGGTGAGGGAAAGTCAGGTAATAAGGGGGGAAGGGCTGGGTAGGAAGGGGGAAGGTCAGGATAGGAGGGGGAAGGTCAGGGTAGGAAGGGTTAAGGTCAGGTCAGGACGGGGGAAAGTCAGGGTAGGAGGGGCATGATCAGGGCAGGAGGGTAGGAGAGGTGAAGGTCAGGGAAGGAGGGGGAAGGGCAGGGAAGGAGGGGGAGGGAAGGGCGGGGGTAGAGTGAGCAGGGCATTGCATCGTGCCGCTTGACATAGAGGGGCGCGATGCCAGGCGTCGTGAGCCAGGTTCTTGAGTGCCAGTCTCCCCCAGTGTGGCACCGGGCACAGGTCTAGTCTCCCTCAGTGTGGCAACGGGCACAGGTCTAGTCTCCCCCAGTGTGGCACCGGGCACAGGTCTAGTCTCCCCCAGTGTGGCACCGGGCACAGGTCTAGTCTCCCCCAGTGTGGCACAGGTCTAGTCTCCCCCAGTGTGGCACCGGGCACAGGTCTAGTCTCCCCCAGTGTGGCACCGGGCACAGGTCCTCGGGTTACCACTCCCTCACGCTCCCTACTGCACCACCACACGCCTCTTGAGCTTCAACTCTCAGGTCAGTCACAACATTGTAGATGTAACTGTATATATCCGCTAGTGTAAGTGTTTCTGTCTTGTGTCCAGGGTGAATGTTTTGTTTGTGTCCAGGGTGAATGTTTTGTTTGTGTCCAGGGTGAATGTTTTGTTTGTGTCCAGGGTGAATGTTTTGTTTGTGTCCAGGGTGAATGTTTTGTTTGTGTCCAGTTTGTGTCCAGGGTGAATGTTTTGTTTGTGTCCAGGGTGAAATGTTTTGTTTGTGTCCAGGGTGAATGTTTTGTTTGTGTCCAGGGTGAATGTTTAGTTTGTGTCCAGGGTGAATGTTTTGTTTGTGTCCAGGGTGAAGTCCAGGGTGAATGTTTTGTTTGTGTCCAGGGTGAATGTTTAGTTTGTGTCCAGGGTGAATGTTTAGTTTGTGTCCAGGGTGAATGTTTTGTTTGTGTCCAGGGTGAATGTTTTGTTTGTGTCCAGGGTGAATGTTTTGTTTGTGTCCAGGGTGAATGTTTTGTTTGTGTCCAGGGTGAATGTTTTGTTTGTGTCCAGGGTGAATGTTTAGTTTGTGTCCAGGGTGAATGTTTTGTTTGTGTCCAGGGTGAATGTTTTGTTTGTGTCCAGGGTGAATGTTTTGTTTGTGTCCAGGGTGAATGTTTTGTTTGTGTCCAGGGTGAATGTTTTGTTTGTGTCCAGGGTGAATGTTTTGTTTGTGTCCAGGGTGAATGTTTTGTTTGTGTCCAGGGTGAATCCTTTGTTTGTGTCCAGGGTGAATCCTTTGTTTGTGTCCAGGGTGAATTTTGTTTGTGTCCAGGGTGAATGTTTTGTTTGTGTCCAGGGTGAATGTTTTGTTTGTGTCCAGGGTGTTTTGTTTGTGTCCAGGGTGAATGTTTTGTTTGTGTCCAGGGTGAATGTTTTGTTTGTGTCCAGGGTGAATGTTTGTGTTGTTTGCCTTGTCCAGGGTGAATGTTTTGTTTGTGTCCAGGGTGAATGTTTTGTTTGTGTCCAGGGTGAATCCAGGGTGAATGTTTTGTTTGTGTCCAGGGTGAATGTTTTGTTTGTGTCCAGGGTGAATGTTTTGTTTGTGTCCAGGGTGAATGTTTGTTTGTGTCCAGGGTGAATGTTTTGTTTGTGTCCAGGGTGAATGTTTTGTGTCCAGGGTGAATGTTTTGTTTGTGTCCAGGGTGAATGTTTTTTGTTTGTGTCCAGGGTGAATGTTTTGTTTGTGTCCAGGGTGAATGTTTTGTTTGTGTCCAGGGTGAATGTTTTGTTTGTGTCCAGGGTGAATGTTTTGTTTGTGTCCAGGGTGAATGTTTTGTTTGTGTCCAGGGTGAATGTTTTGTTTGTGTCCAGGGTGAATGTTTTGTTTGTGTCCAGGGTGAATGTTTTGTTTGTGTCCAGGGTGAATGTTTTGTTTGTGTCCAGGGTGAATGTTTTGTTTGTGTCCAGGGTGAATGTTTTGTTTGTGTCCAGGGTGAATGTTTTGTTTGTGTCCAGGGTGAATGTTTTGTTTGTGTCCAGGGTGAATGTTTTGTTTGTGTCCAGGGTGAATGTTTTGTTTGTGTCCAGGGTGAATGTTTTGTTTGTGTCCAGGGTGAATGTTTTGTTTGTGTCCAGGGTGAATGTTTTGTTTGTGTCCAGGGTGAATGTTTTGTTTGTGTCCAGGGTGAATGTTTTGTTTGTTTTGTTTGTGTCCAGGGTGAATGTTTTGTTTGTGTCCAGGGTGAATGTTTTGTTTGTGTCCAGGGTGAATGTTTTGTTTGTGTCCAGGGTGAATGTTTTGTTTGTGTCCAGGGTGAATGTTTTGTTTGTGTCCAGGGTGAATGTTTTGTTTGTGTCCAGGGTGAATGTTTTGTTTTGTTTGTGTCCAGGGTGAATGTTTTGTTTGTGTCCAGGGTGAATGTTTTGTTTGTGTCCAGGGTGAATGTTTTGTTTGTGTCCAGGGTGAATGTTTTGTTTGTGTCCAGGGTGAATGTTTTGTTTGTGTCCAGGGTGAATGTTTTGTTTGTGTCCAGGGTGAATGTTTTGTTTGTGTCCAGGGTGCATGTTTTGTTTGTGTCCAGGGTGAATGTTTTGTTTGTGTCCAGGGTGAATGTTTTGTTTGTTTGTGTCCAGGGTGAATGTTTTGTTTGTGTCCAGGGTGAATGTGAATTTGTCCAGGGTGAATGTTTTGTTTCCAGGGTGAATGTTTTGTTTGTGTCCAGGGTGAATGTTTTGTTTGTGTCCATGTTTTGTTTGTGTCCAGGGTGAATGTTTTGTTTGTGTCCAGGGTGAATGTTTTGTGTTCCAGGGTTGTTTGTGTCCAGGGTGAATGTTTTGTTTGTGTCCAGGGTGAATGTTTCCAGGATGAATGTTTTGTTTGTGTCCAGGGTGAATTGTGTCCAGGGTGAATGTTTCCAGGGTGTTTGTGTCCAGGGTGAATGTTTCCAGGGTGAATGTTTGTGTCCAGGGTGAATGTTTTGTTTGTGTCTAGGGTGAAGGTTTTGTTTGTGTCCAGGGTGAATGTTTTGTTTGTGTCCAGGGTGAATGTTTTGTTTGTGTCCAGGGTGAATGTTTTGATTGTGTCCAGGGTGAATGTTTCTGTCTTGTGTCCAGGGTCAATGTTTCTGTCTTGTGTCCAGGGTGAATGTTTTGTTTGTGTCCAGGGTGAACGTTTTGTTTGTGTCCAGGGTGAATGTTTTGATTGTGTCCAGGGTGAATGTTACTGTCTTGTGTCCAGGGTGAATGTTTCTGTCTTGTGTCCGGGGTGAATGTTTTGTTTGTGTCCAGGGTGAATGTTTCTGTCTCTTGTCCAGGGTGAATGTTTTGTTTGTGTCCAGGGTGAATGTTTCTGTCTCTTGTCCAGGGTGAATGTTTTGTTTGTGTCCAAGGTGAATGTTTTGTTTGTGTCCAGGGTGAATGTTTTGTTTGTGTCCAGGGTGAATGTTTTGTTTGTGTCCAGGGTGAATGTTTAGTTTGTGTCCAGAGTGAATGTTTTGTTTGTGTCCAGGGTGAATGTTTTGTTTGTGTCCAGGGTGAATGTTTTGTTTGTGTCCAGGATGAATGTTTTGTTTGTGTCCAAGGTGAATGTTTTGTTTGTGTCCAGGATAAATGTTTTGTTTGTGTCCAGGGTGAATGTTTAATTTGTGTCCAGGGTGTATGTTTAGTTTGTGTCCAGGGTGAATGTTTTGTTTGAGTCCAGGATGAATGTTTTGTTTGTGTCCAGGGTGAATGCTTAGTTTGTGTCCAGGGTGAATGTTTTGTTTGTGCCCAGGATGAATGTTTTGTCTGTGTCCAGGGTGAATGTTTTGTGTCCAGGGAGAATGTTTTGTTTGTGTCCAGGGTGAATGTTTTGTTTGTGTCCAGGGTGAATGTTTTGTTTGTGCCCAGGATGAATGTTTTGTCTGTGTCCAGGGTGAATGTTTTGTGTCCAGGGAGAATGTTTTGTTTGTGTCCAGGGTGAATGTTTTGTTTGAGTCCAGGGTGAATGTTTTGTTTGAGTCCAGGGTGAATGTTTAGTTTGTGTCCAGGGTGAATGTTTTGTTTGTGTCCAGGGTGAATGTTTTGTTTGTGTCCAGGGTGAATGTTTTGTTTGTGTCCAGGGTGAATGTTTTGTTTGTGTCCAGGGTGAATGTTTTGTTTGTGTCCAGGGTGAATGTTTTGTTTGTGTCCAGGGTGAATGTTTTGTTTGTGTCCAGGGTGAATGTTTAGTTTGTGTCCAGGTTGAATGTTTTGTTTGAGTCCAGGGTGAATGTTTTGTTTGTGTCCAGGGTGAATGTTTTGTTTGAGTCCAGGGTGAATGTTTTGTTTGTGTCCAGGGTGAATGTTTTGTTTGTGTCCAGTTGTTTGTGTCCAGGGTGAATGTTTTGTTTGTGTCCAGGGTGAATGTTTTGTTTGTGTCCAGGGTGAATGTTTAGTTTGTGTCCAGGGTGAATGTTTTGTTTGAGTCCAGGGTGAATGTTTTGTTTGAGTCCAGGGTGAATGTTTTGTGTCCAGTGTCGTGACGCTGAACCCCGGTTCATTCCGAACACAGCGATTACACAACACACAACACCTTGCCTCAGCAACCACCGTGTACTCCTACACACACCAGACCCTTGAGGCGTACCACTAGGTTTGTACTGGAACACAATGAATGAACATACGGAAGGTATTTAAAGGCCGTCGGGTTTTGTCATTTAATTACAAAGAATAGACTCTGACAAATAATACTATATTAATTAACATACTCTATTAGGTAAATACACATCCAATACCTATAGACCACTTGACCTCCGCGATCACCACCCACACTCGTAACTTCCGCCTAAGTCCCTAATACGGAATGATTACTACAACGCTCCACACCTGGTTAGTCTTACATTCAATACTCACATACTGCAGACTTAACTTGGTCACTAAGATCACAACAGGCTCTCGCATAGCTGTCTGCTACACTTCGCTGCTGCCACAAACGGAGATGCGGAGGACTTCCCAGTTCCACTCCCACAATCAGACTCACTCCAGCCAACCATGGCCTCAATCATTTCACCACGCCTCTTGAGGAAGGTATAATCCGATTAACCTTATCCCTAGAGCGGTAACCTTGTTCCTAGAAGCCTGACGAAGAATAATTCCTCTTTCCAGGAATTATTAATTTGGCTAAACAGCTTCGGTCTTAATCCATTGACCTTTCTTAGATATGTGATCCATAGTCTGTCTACTTACATGTACTTCCAATCATCATTCGTTAAGTGTTGTAGTAATGATCCTCTAGCTAATAATTCCTACTAACTTGTGGATTACAACACCACTCCCCTCCTTAAACACGCATATGTCCCCATATGCATCATTGCAATGGTTCCATTAGTGCAAGGACTTGGAGGATGCACCCACCATATGTGTACAACTAAAAAATCATCCAATAAGTTCATCATACACACAATGAAATAAATTAAAATTTTCCCCGACATGACTCACAACACTTCTCCAACATATACATTATATTCACATCATAGCACAGGTAAAATAGTCTGTAATAATTTTTCCCATCTCCAACAATGCACATAT